GTGTAGTTTGGTTGTATCTCGAGTTCGAAATCGTTGTATACGTTGTAGAGTATAAATAATTATACACAAATTAATTATTTAGTAAGATGCTCTTGTTATCTGTATGCATAAACTAAATCTGTCATAGTTTATATGTTTTACTTTGCATGGAGTTTTATTCTGTAAAATCGGTAATGAAATCCCCAAACTATACCTATTATAGTTTGACTGGTAAGTTGTGATCATGTACTGTTCTGAAAACTATGCAATTATGTTTAGAAAATGCCCCTTATGCTCCGCATTTTACAAAAGGGATAAAGTATCTAAATGTTTAACGTAAAACTATTGTAATTGCATCAGTTTTTAAGTTGTGAAAACCTTTATGTTTGGCTTGTATTCCCCCCTGAAAACGTTATAAAAACTTATAAAAGCGTAGGGGTATGAACTCACAGTTTAACGTAGGATTCGGGTGTACGATCGGTTACAAGTGCTGAGTGTCAACTGATGTTTCGTACGCAAGTGGATCCTATTAACATATAGTACACATATATGTATTAGATTAAGGTATTCCATGACATAACATGACGGGAAACCACCCTAAAGACTTGGGAATGCTTGAACTAAGTGTCGGGACCCTATATGATCAAACTTGGGAGGTGTACGGCCATAAGAGTGTGTGTACGGCCAGGGTGTGCGGCCAGGATGTGTGTGCGGTCGTACAAGGGAGTGTGTGGTAGTACAGAGGGGGTGTGCGGCCGTACACTCTTCATTCATGCCCAAAATGTCGATTTTTCAGGTGTTTCAAAGCCAATACCAAGTCCAACTAGCAGATGGAGGCCAAACTCTCACCTTGGAGAGTCTTTAAGGTGTGTACGGCCACCTTATGAAGGTGTGCGTCCGTACACCTTCAAGTGATGAAGAACACGAAGAACATGAAGAGTTTTAGGCTTAGATCAAGGTGTCTTACCAGTATAACAAGCTGAATGATGGAGTACTTCACGTTTTTGAGGCCCTTAGAGTGTTCTTGGATGAAGTTTCTAGAGAGAGAAAGTAGTCTGCAGCCAAAAGGGAAAAAGAGTGAATGAAGGGGTCTCCTCCTTTATATGGAGGTGGGTGTACGGTTGAGGGGTGGGTGTACGGCCGCACACTCCTCCCGAGAGGGTGTATGGCCCGAATGTTGTACTATGACTTGGTATTACTCAACCTAGGACCCAAACTTTGATTGTACAAGGCTTAAAACTCTTGATCAAACCCTTAAACAGTGTAGAATGGTGATAAAATCGAGTTTAATATTGATATAAAGATCAATTGTACAGGATAGAAGTTCCGGGTTGTCACAAATACCTTTGGGTAGCAAAGGGATACAATCATGTTTATTCATACAAAAAACATTACTAGTAAACTATAATAGGTATAGTTTAGGAAGTTACTAATACTTTTACTAGAACAATGAAACATACAAAGAGTCAGTTCATACATGAGTCAATACATACTATTATGAGAAACAAAGAGAACATACTATTATGAGAAACTAAGAGAACATACATACATACTAGACAGAGAGAACATACAATACAGCTAGTACATACTATACATTATACAAGAGAACATACTATTATGAGAAACTGAGAGAACATACATACATACTAGACAGAGAGAACATACAATACAGCTAGTACATACATTACATATACAAGTATACAATAACATAAATGTGAACCATCGTTCGGGGCATGGCATCACCTGTCATGGCTCGATTTGTAGCCTGAATCTCCTGGAGGGAGAGCGTGAATTTGTGTATAGATCTATACTGGATTGACTATCCTACACCTTGCCGTTAGCTACAGTGGGACTTGCAAGTCTACGGGTACCAAATTTCATTTCTTCCGACGTCTTTCATCGTCGTGTTATTAGTCGATAGTATGGTGCAACCATTTCACATTTAACCTTAATTAACGGCCGGATTAAGGTAGAAAGTACGGAAGTAGTTACTATAATACAACACTACAATACTTTATTATTTCCCCATTGCATTCACATTGTGATCTTTTCACATAAAAAGCAATGTAAAACTATATTTTTGGTTAATGATAGTCACACTTGGAAAAATATACACTCTTACAAGAAACAAACATACATTTCATTTGATGCCTTGGTAGAAGGCTACGTTTAGTAGAAAATATAGGATTTTCTAGGAGATACAAACATTTACAAATATTTACAAACATTTACAAACTTTTACAAACTTATACATCAAGTACTTACAAACACTTTCATACAAACAATGACACTAAAATGCTTTTGAACTCACCAGCTTTAAAGCTGATAAACTCCTTCAAAATAACTTGTATTCTCAGGTCATCAGTAGACAGGTACCGATGCCAGGTTTTGAGAAGATGGAGCTCGTTCATGACGTCCTCCACCCCCGAACGTTTCCGCCGTTCTGGTTTTGGGGTGTGACAATAAGTCTGATCCAGTCCGGTCCATGGTCCATAATATTCTTCGAAACCGGTCCGATCCAAGAGTCGGTCCGATCTGGTCCGGTCCAAATGCTCACCCCTACTCGAGACTCTATATCTAAACGCCAAATTGCCAAATGCATGACCTATTAACTGATATGCTTGTCTTGGTAAAATTCAATCAACTGTTACCATTATTATCATCTGTTCGTCGAAATCCAACTCTTTTTGCTACGTTTGACAACAAAAGAACCCAATTTTCCTATATGATGGTTGGGAATAGGGATTGCTATACAGTAAATTAAAGTACTTGCTAATGTACTCTGTTCCATCAACCAAGGGTTTATACGTGTGAAGCAAATCAGTTCAATGATTATAAACATGTCTTTAACTTTTTCCACATCTTAAATGCTTAGGGCTTGATAATTATGATAGACCAGCTTTTTAGGGTTTAAAGAATGTAAGCCATTAAGACTAAAGATGTAGGAAAACATGTGTGTGTTGTTTGTATATGTGCTTGAGAATTGCAATATCACAATCCAAATTGGTTGTCGAGTACAGATTAAGACCTTTTATAGATTTTTGCTTTGTGGGCAATGAATACTTTTAAAAAAAATGAGGGATCGATTTTAGTTGGTTTCAAGGAGAGAATCACAATGTAACCAGACACCTCACATATGGATTCTCATATTGTTACTGCTATGGTAAGCATGTGGCATTGTCATTATAAAAAAATATACACAACAACTATAATTTTCTCTTTATGCAACATACTTTCGTTTCTTTCATTTAGAATGTTGTGCATTCAATTTTTTTATTAAGGCATTTTGACTTTGAAAGATCAACCAATTATAACAGTGTACTTGCATTTTATTCTCTCCCATTAGGAAAATATACTTTGAACAGACTTTAACCGATTAGAGCAGTGGAAATTGCTTTCTCGTTATGTCAATGGCATTGCTACAATTGGATAGATATTGTTAACGTATAATGTTGTATTGTAACAAAATAAAATGAAAGTAATATGTTACAGTAAACAAATGAGTGTATGTATGTTGCTATTTCTTGCATTAAACCTGTTTATTCCAATTGACACTGATCCGGTCCCTATATTTCAAGATCTCTTTGTGTGTTATCAGTGTCTATCCTCAAGTGGTATTTTCCCTTCAGCAAGTAAATCTTTGTTGATTAAATTACAAAAAACATTCTTGTGCTCTATCTTTTTACAGTTTTGGTCCAGTAGTTTCATACTTTTCTTTTTCCCTCCCTAAAACAACATTTGATCACACTTTTAGTCCTTGGGCCGTCTAACGAGATGGCCCAACTGTTAAATACTTTTATAATTAGATCTATTTAGAATAAATAACAACAAATTGACCCCGAGGTTTGTTATTTTCTTTATGGATATATGGCTAACTGGTTTCATCATTTACCAATTCCGTCCCTAAAACAATGTTTGGTCACATCTTTAGTCCCTGGTGGCATAGTCGTTAAATCCATGAAAATGACATATCCGTAAAAAGTGTGAAACTATTGGACCATATCCACAAAATGTAATAAACCATAGGGATGATTTTTGTAATTTATTCTTCTTTATTTCTCTGTTTCAATGATTTTGAAAAGACCTTGTTAATTTCTTTTCATAGATTCTATGCAATTGGCCAAGGACTTGAGTGCCTATATGCGTGATTGCATTTATTTTGAGTGCCGAAGAATATCATCTTCTTCGTATTACAACATTGTACTTTAAAAAACCTACCGAATTATAGTAATGGCATCCAAAAAGCAATTTTTAGTGCTATAATTGGATAGATTTTTATTAGTATGATGTCCAAATAAGAAAAAAAAAAGCTTAAAGTACAATGCTATAAGTGGGTAAAATTTTCAAAGTAAAATGCCTTGATATTAAAAACTGGAAGTACAATGTTGTAATAAAAAGAACTAAAAGTAGGATGCTATAATACACAAATATACAAAAGTATGTTGCCTTTTCTAGCATTTAGCCCGACTCTTAATTACATTTACCATTACTTAAAATGCATTTGAACGTATTATAACTTTTTTAGGAGTGAGATGATCGAGTGTTTTCTATGTTGAGAGTATTGCAAGAGTGAAAAGGATATCTTTAAGTGGTTTGCTTCTTTAAAAATTACACATGCTTCTTCGTACAATGGCCACAATTACAGCAAAAATATTCCTACGCACATTACGTGGCCTGTCTCTTATTTTTGAGTTTATAACATGAACCTTTGATGATGTAAATGAGATGTTATTTATTTGGCAAAATCATAATGAATACATGTGCCAAAATCATAATAATCCATCCACATTGCTGAAATGTTTCCCCTTTTAACACTTACTGAAATGATTAATGAAGACCTAACAAATGTACAGCAGAGGCCATGACAGTGCACATGAATCTTAAAGTTCAATCATATTGTTTTTCTATTAAGATCTTTAAAATCGAATGAAATTCTTTTACAAAAAAAAACATCATTTCGTTAATTAAACATGTTCACAAAAGTTTATTTCATGTTTACATAATTAAATTTACAAAATATTATTTCATTAATAGGTTTCATGTCCTAGTTTGTAACAACGCTAAAAATTGTACATCGAAAAAAAATCATCCTAATTATAATCATTATTTATTCAAATTGAACTATGTTGTCGCCACAGTTACCTTTTCCATCCAAATCAAAGGTCTCCTGGAATTTTAAAACAAATCACACTTTGCCTCCTTTTGGGGAAGAACTTCAGTCGTCATAGGCTACGAATAAAGGAAAAGTAAGATAATTTTAAAAGTTACATAAGTACATAGAGATATAATACAAATTGCTATGAAAATAGATAGTTACTTGGAAGTATATATAGTATGTTATATTTTCTTGATATAACAGACTTAATGACTCCTCATACTCAAATACGTTTCACCGTCTTCTAACATATTCTTGATTTAACAGAGTTATTCATGTGATGAGAGAAAGGTTTGTGTTGTCAAAAAAGTATACCTCAGGCTCACGTGTGCTACCAATTGTTCCAGGATTTCTTTGAGAAAAAGCTCTGAACCAACAGTCTTCCTCTTCTTCTGAAAACAAATAAAAAGTTTCGTGTTAATCTTTTATTCACTCGGACAAAGTGCCGATGTATTTATGTGATGCAACATATCAAAGGGACTTCATCAATTGACATAACAAATCGACCCATTCTGACAGATCAATACTTGGGTCGACCCATTTAAAAGTGAAAAATAGAACCTTTGTTTTTTGTATTTTATAAACATAAACTCTTGTTTTAGATGTCAATACAATCAATAGTAAACAGATCAGTTTGATCATTATCCATTTATAATGATTGAGTCATGAAGCATCTATTTTAAATTAATGGGTTATCATCCATCTATTTAAAGAAATCGGGTCATGATACATAAGACACAACAATAAATTACTTAACAAAAATGGCATCTACCTTGAGAGTTGGGGATGTCTGCAATGAATTTATGATGATAGGAAAACAAATAAATGTAACGCAGAAAAAACCGCATGTTGTATAGGAGGTATTGTCCAGTTGCTGTTTGAAAAGGAGAGAGATCTTCACCAATGATGTGATTCCATGACTTGTAATAACCCAACACAACTTCTGCTTCTCCATCATCATACACAAGACTCACCCCACACTCCTTTGTAAATTCATTACACCGATCTGTAACTGTAATAGTAACATAGTCACCAACCTCCATCTCATTCGTCCCAAACATCCAATGACTTAACAGCACCCAACACTCTCCATCTACACTATATCTGTCTGTGTAACGTTCGTATATCCACATGAGGTTCTTTGTTATATTACTAATTGTCATCATTGACGATACAGGGAAATAATCATCCTGTGATAAATCCAACCACTCATCAGGAGGTTTTAATGTGTGCAGAGAGCAGAAATTGAGTCCTGTAATGAGCTTGTTTGGAGATGATGAGGATGATGCTGGGATGGTAAATGATATTGATGGCCCCACACTTATATGCCTAAACCAACTCGGCATCTCCTCCGCCCCATACATTGTGCTGAATATTCCAAATTCATAAATCATCGTCTGCCAAACACAACCATCTTAATTAATCGTCTTGCATAAAAATTATATTATACATACTCACATAAAGAGGGACAGTTAACTGAACAAAACCTGGATTCCAGCTTCTGACGAAGAATTCGTTCCCACGCGCCTGTCGTTAAGGAAGTCTAACTTACTCCATCCCAAGCAATGTATTACCTTTTCCTCAACACATATCATTTGATGGATTTTGACCATACCTTCAATTTCATATGACCAAGGCGCATAATATGTCCAGCAGCTTGATGATAACTTTAGTGGGGACATTCCTGGATCAAATACAACTTTTTCTACAGACTGCCCATGACGAGAATAGAGAGTCAACTTTCTTAGCGTACGTGGAGGGTGCTCAACTGACTTCAATTTACCACAGTCCCTCATACTCAGTATCTCAAGCCTAGGAAGGGTTCTTGCACAACTGGGCATGGAATTTATAGGATTTCCATCTAAATTTAAATCCTTTAACATGGATAGGCAACTGAAGTCCATGGGAAAGGATTCCGTGGATAAATTATTATTTGCAAGGGACAAACTTACTAAAGACCTGGGTAAAGAGATTACAAACGACTTCAAATCACTTGGTATAGCACCCACAAAGGCAGAGGAAGAGGTTCTTGTATTTATGTCAATGTTTTTAGCCTTGCACAATTCCAGTGAATCCATACCCCTATTCTGGATGTGAGATTCAGCTACACTACAACCATCTAACAAGATTGTTTTAACATTCTTCAACATACCTATGTTTCTGGGAAGTTTTTCAAGCTTCTTGCAATAGCTCAGATCAATGAAGAAAAGTCCAACACATTGCTCAATTGATTCACAAACCTCAAGCAAACCAATGCAATTTCTAACTATTAACCTCTCAAGTGCAGGAAATTGGTCAAATTCACCAAGACTACAAAGTTGTTTACAAAAACTTAAATTAAGAATCTTTAGTGCTCCAAGCAAACTTTTCTCTTTTAAGCACGATCCATCCAACTGCAGAAATGAAAATAAGTTTGAACAATAAGGAATTTCATCAACTAAATATGGATGAATAATATAAATGAAGATAAGTTACTTTTCTCCTCTTCTCAAGCTGTTGTGGATTATTATAACAACCGACAAACGATTCAATATTGCTATATGACATGTCAAGAGCAACCAAATTCATCATCGGTAAGTCTAAAGGTATAGCCTTTAAATGAAACCCATGCATACACAAGCCTCTTAATTCCTCTGGAAAGTTCGCAAAAGACCCATTCATGTGCACATAATTGAGTTGTAGTAGCATCAAATTATCCATGTTACTTAATGCATTTGTTGTCAGCTCATATGATACACCCAACTTCTCTTTCTCAAGCATGCGAATGTCAAGGGTAAGGCCTAGAAGATTTCCCTTACCCTAATAAGAAACATAATGCAAATACATAAATTAGGCAATACAAAATATCATGGACACACACACACTACAAAAAGCATACATGGCCTCTTACCTTTTTTTGTTTCAACACTTTAAATGACTCCTTATGGCACCATAATCGACTTCGCTTCCATGGCTTGTCAAGGGATTCTTGACGTACTTGGAGTCTTCCCATCTCTTGAACCAACTGATGCATCTCCAACTCATTATTCCATTTTATATTAAGAAAACATCTGTCAATGAGATTCGTGATCCCGGATGTTGTGATTATATCACATGCCTCTAATATTGTTTCAGTAACATCTCTATCTATTCCAACAAAAAAACAAGCAATATGCTTAAACAACTCCTTATCATTTTTTGATGGCAAGGTGTCGAAGCTCATTTTCAAGACATTATTTATAGGGGAACTTATTTCTTTCCTTAGCCCTTGGATGCACTCTTCCCAATAAGCTGCATCTCGATTATGTAGAGACTTTCCCAAAACTTCAAGAGCCAATGGATGTCCTTGACAATAGTTAACAAGCTTATCAGACACCTCTTCATATCCCACCTTAGGTTGGTTGTACATGAATGCATGGGTACACAAAAGTTGTTGCGATGCAATATCATCTAAGCCTGGAAGAAAATGTCTTTCATGCTTGGGTTTATTGTTTGTTTTGAATAAAGAACAACTCTCAGTCAACCAACTGTCCTTTGTTGTAATTATAATTTTGCTTCCGGGATGAAAGCCTTTGCTTCCAAGTAATGCATCCAACTGAACAAGAGTATTGATATCATCAAGAACTAGAAACACCCTTTTAAGTGCTAGTGCATTCTCTATCTTTGCGGTGTATACGGAAACATCATGAACTTTAATTGAACTTGGTTTTGAAATGTCATTGCAGAGTTGTTCTTGTAAATTAAGTAACCCATTAAACTTCCCATCACATTTCCTAGTGATATCTTCAATATAGCTGCTTCTGTGGAACTCACGAGAATATAGCCCATAGACATGTTTGGCTAAAGATGTCTTCCCGGTCCCACCTATACCATAAATAGTAAGTATGTCTGCCGTATGTGAGGATCCATCTTTCAACCATGAAGTTACAAAGTTAATATGATACTTCATCCCAATAAGTTGTGGTCGAACGCTTCTTAAGTGTACATGTAATCTACGGTGGATGTCCTTCACAATTTCTTCAATACACTCCATCTCTAACCTGAAACTTGATTATATAAGAACTTCAAAACCAAATCTACAAAACTATTGAATCAGATTGGGAGATTTAATTTATTCAAAGATCGTAACTAAGATTATGTCATAGCTGTTATTAATTGAGTTCTCACATCAAAACCATATTGTGGCTTGCATCAATCTGGACAAAATGCCAGGAAATACAAGATTTCACAAATGGATAAGGTCGTAAATAGGGATGTAAATGAACCGAACGAACACGACCGGGAGTTGTTTTAATGTTCATTCGTTTAAGTGAGCCGAACAAATGAACGAACACGAACGGATAAACAAACGCGTTTTCTTGTTCATGTTCGTTCGTTTATGTTTGTGTACACACTAAATGTACATAAACAAATGAACATAAGCGAACAAAGATAAACAAACATATATAATTGAACATATATGAACATAAACACACATATAATATAGTAATGTAATCAAACACAATTGAACATATATGAACATAGAATGAATTGAAATAACGAACATAAACAAAGGTAAACGAACAACATAAATGAACGTTCATGAACATAATTAAACAAACAAGACCAGTGTTCATGTCCGTTCATTTAAGTAAAGGAACGAGGATCTGTGTTCAAGTTCATTTATTTATTAAAAAACGATCATAAACGAACTTCTCGCCGAACAATTCATGAACAGTTCTCTGAACCTTCAGTTCGTTTACAGACCTAGTCATAAATATTTGTTTATGATAAGACCAAATCAACCAACGAAATACAAGATTTCACTAATAGGCCACCAAATTTCACTATGTTTCTACAAGACCATCAAACTTAACCATCGATGTGGTTTTACATGGATTTGAACAAAATGCCATGAAATAATTATAGGTTATATTTTACTACATACAACTAAATGCAGTTATTTATCATAAAAGCCGCTATGATTTGAAGGTAGTATGGTATAATTAATAGTAGACGCATTGCAAACCCATCAGGCCATCAAACTTTGGTTTTTAAATAAAAAGAATGTAAAAATCGTGAAGAAGGATCATCTAAATGCACTAACTTATGATAAAATACAAAATGCATCACAAACATGTAAAAATTATCAGAATGGCTAATCCATTATGAACTGGTCTATGAGATCACATATTTGAAGACTTATTTTCAATTATGTGCATCTTCTATATATCCTAATACATCGTATATATGTCTATTTGATGATTTAGAAAAACTTATTGAAATGCATAGGGAGATGAATATGGGTAAGAAAGTGATCACCTGCCATTTATGTCCTTTCCTTTTAAATTAGCAACTTTAATAAGCCCTTTATTCCATCGGTCCATCTTTTGAGCCCAATGACTTTTTTTATTTGCATCTGTCTGTGTCTCCATTGTCTGTTTATGCTTAGCCATTGCATCTCCAAAGCTACTTTGCTGCTTCCTAACATGTGTGGGATCCACATGATAAAATATAGGGATGACAATATGGTTGGATGTCATACGCTGCTCAAGGATCAGCACCAATTCATCAAGGCAGCATGTTGAAGAAGCATAATTATTAGACAACACGATAACAGAAGCCCGAGATGCCTTAATTGCAGTCTCCAGTTCTGGTTTCAGATCTTCCCCTGTTTCACTCTCTTCATAGTCCAAGAAGGTAGTGATATTGGCATCAATGAGGGCCTTATGAAGGTGATCAGTGAAACTATGACGGGTGTCAAGTCCTCTAAAACTTAAAAATACATCATATCTAAGACCATCAGTTGATGAACTATGACCACGACTTGATGAACTATGGCCATGAGTTGATGAAGAATATGAAGATCCTTCTGAAAATTCAGATAGAAAAACCATTATGAGCTGTGGGCTGATGACACTTCACCCTTCTCAGTAAGCCCTCAAAATCCTCCACACGTTATCAGTTCCCGAAGTTGGTTTCACCGAGTTTCTTCACTTGTGATTAAGTCAGGATCCCATACAAAATGCCTCTACATAATAGCAAATTATTAATTACAATATGCAACTTAAAACTCTTGAAAGAATTTAAACATACACTTCTATCTGCTGATGTGTTTGAAATACAAAGAGAGGCTGCTTGGTTTTCTTATTGCAAGCATAAATAGGCTTATAAATCTCTGCAACGGCAGCGTCATGACAGTTGCAACTATGTGACAACTTTTTGGATCTCAATAACCATTACATTGTCATCGCCTCATGGGAATTATCAGCATCAAATCAAACATACATAAACCAGCACCAAATCAGCATACAAATGGAGCCCGCCAAAAGAATAAAGCTTCCATTTTTCCATTTCAGAAAGAAGCGCCAATTCAAATTTTAACAAAAATCTACCAAAATTAAAACGCAGACTATGGACCTAATAACATAGACTACACGGATTAAACTAAAAGAAACGATATTAATTAAGCAAAATAAGAAGGCACTTTTTAGAAACATGAAAAATGACTTCAGATTAACCCAAATTACACAAAAACCAGTAAGGAAATATATGTTATGGAGGAAAGAGTTACCTTTGTGAACAATAACGATCTGGGTGTTCAAGAAAGAAGAAGCAAAAAAGGTGACAGCATTGAGAGATAGAGACTGGAGATGCAGACGTACGTTTTTTACCATACGAAGTTGAGGTTGGAGGTTGGAGGTTGGAGGTTGGAGATGATGAGGTCAGGGTGCACAACCGAGGGATTTGGAGATGGTGGATATCTGGTTTGGGCTTGCTGGGGAGATGTGGAGGTGAGTATTTTTCTTTGAGGTTGAAGGTGATGATGGGAGGCGTTGGCAGTGCGGCAAAAAGCAATGCGTACCTTTTTTTTTCTTTTTCTTTTTCTTTTTTCTTTTTGACCAGAAAAACTTGTTCCACACTATTTTGTCGGTTGGAGGCGGGACTAAAATCTAAATAGATATAAAATTTGTAATCAATGCAATTATATGTGTATGTTTTTTTTATTTAATGAATAAATCCTCTTAAAGATTATTTCTTTTTTAATTTGTCATACTTTTATTGTCAAATATGATTTTGTAGTTATTTTAAATTAATTTTTTTCAGATGTCAATTTACAAGTTTTTATATTTTGTTAAATTGTACATTATATTTTAATATAATAATTGAAATAAATATAGTAATAAATAAATATTAATTTTGCTAATAAACTTACCTTTTAATTTCAAAATTCACAAAATTAAAACTTTTTTTACTTTTATATTTAACTTTTTTTTAAAAAAAATTAATTCATGTAATACGTAGGTTTCACAACTAGTACAAAATATATAACAGGTAAATTGTCAAAATGATGGTTTGTCCATTAAAACACATATTTTTCTCTTAACGATAATTTACCCTAAATTCTAAAATTTATAAAATCACGCTCTTTGTTCTTTCAATTAAATTATTAGCTTACTAAATTTATTTTTTTTACTCGTATTTTTCTTCTCGAGCCTCTTAATTTTTTATAATATAATTATATACTGTTTTAATTTATAAAACCAATTAATGTTATGTTTAGTATGCTATAGCTAACTGATAAACTAATTTATTTTTTCGAGCTTTTTTAGACTATCATTTTAGCATACCAAAAAGTAGCTTATAAAATAATTTTTTAAAAAACTACTTAAACTAGTTTTTCAAAAGCTTTTTTAAATATTTCAAGTTTACCCTTAACTAATTATAGGAAACTCATTAACCTAAATATCATTTTATATCATCCAACGAGTTTATCAACTAACTTTTATCAATCATCATTTTTTATCCAAGAACTTATAAGCCAAAAACTAACTTTTTGGTTAGCTTTTTAGCTATCAGGTAGCTTTTCAACTAGTATGTCAAATATAACCTAAATAAATGGTCATTTGTTTCTAACCATTAAGGTAAAATAGTCGTTTATCTAAATTCGGACAAATCATTCGGTCGAAAAATTAACCAATTTTTATATATGTAATATTTTCTCCACGTATACATCATTATTACATGTTAATGTTGGAAACAGTGTCCTGGATCATTAATTATTTTACTAATATTTCTAATAATAGCATGATCCTTTTTGGTTGACCTCATGACCTAAATAGCAATAAGGAGGAATAATTAAACTTTTTAAAAATAGATTTTTAAGGTTTGTGATAATTAAATAAATTAAAAGGTTTAAATTAGTAATAATAACAATAAATTAAATATAAGTCCAGGGGCTATCATGCTATTTACATAAACCTTATATGTAGAGAAATTTGGGTTTGCAATAAGTTTGGAAAGGCTGATAAACCTTAAAGACTTTTTTGTTGAATTCAGAAACTTTGGTCTAATGTGGTCTCCTTATCAAAAACAACATGCGCATGGGGGAGGGAGTTATTCTTTCCTTTTTGCTTGTGAGCCATCAGTATCCCTCTAATCAAGAAAACCCTAGATTAGTATGTGTGAGTGTGTATTTGTGTGTGTGACATCCCCATTTTCACGGCCAGAAAAGACCGATTTTTGTTTATGCTTTAAAAAAATCAGAGTATCTCTTTTACTAAAAATGTTGCAGAATTTGTTCCCTGAAAAACATCATAAATAAGTTATCAAAGCATTTCCGAAGAAATGTATTTTTATCCATTTTAAAACATTTGGGATATCATCGTCAATACAGAAACATAATCATAAACAGAACTTACATTTATTTACACTAGTGATCTACATCTTTTTTAAATCCCTCAGTGTAAAGTAGCTTCATATCGACACCTGTGATACAAATAAGCTTGAGTGGGTCAGGTTGGGAAACCTGGTGAGTACATAGGGTTTTCAACCCACAATAATATAATTATTATGTTAAACAGCAAACAATCAACCCAATTACCCATCCCCGTTATCTTCTTTACTCTTAAGGATCTACCCTAAGATTCAGCTATTCCTCGTTCATTCATTCCTAAGGAGTATCCTAAGGAATCGGCACTAAGTCTACATAGTCGCCAGGGTTTATCTCGTTTATTGGCAGTATCGTTTTCGAGAGTCCACTCGTAATACCTGTCAATGGGTTTTTTAGAGTACACCGGGTGAACACATCGTTCACAACACCTATAGGTTGCGAGTCTGCTAGTGTTCCACTAGACTGTCTAGAATAGTCCGTGGTTGTTATACATACTCTGCTAGATGACGGGGCCATCGCTTGGGTCATCGTTTGGCTCATCATTTGGCTCATCTTTTTGGCTCATCGCTTTGGCTCATCGTTTTGGCTCATCGCTTTGGCTCATCGCTTAGGTCATCGCTTTGAACCATATTTTATCACTCATATATCATCACTCATCATTCATCTCATCTTTCATCGCTCATCATTTATCTCATCTTTCATCGCGCATCATTTATCTCACATCTAATCTACCCATGTTTTACCCAACACATTTTGTAGATATAAAATACATATACAATTTAGATCATTTAAAACATGTATAAAACGTTTCATCCAACATAGACAACAAGTATTCAGACAGTATACACACATAGCATGTAATTTATATAAAATACTTCATATCTATGTGTAAGATGAAAGTAACTATGCACTCACTTGTTAAAGTGATGATTTCAAACTCGGGCAGCGCTTCGCTTTTAACGATTCTATTTTCCTTCGACGAAACCTTGCATTATTATCGCTAAGTTTTAGTCTAATCTTTATTTTGACTAATTATTAGTCTAGATTCATCATTAACTCAAAGTCTACTTTCATGATCTATCAAGTAAGGAACAACCAGGTAGGATCATATCGGAGGTAGGGTCTGTTTGGTATACGAAGTATACTGTTTGGAAATCTGACTTTAAACACCTCACTAAATCACAGCCTAGATATCATCCCCGTAAGTAGATCAATCAGTATAACGACTTTGAATCACTGATAAATCTTATTTATAGGCTCATAATAATGATATTATATTTAAATATAAGCTATATTTAAAGTAGGGTAGGCGTATCTCACTTACAACGGGTTTTGCTAAAAACCGGGTTTCGTTGGAGCAGAGCTTCTGAGCCGAAAAACTCTTTTTATTGGAGCCTTCGGGCGCTCCGGGACTTTCCTCTAGCAACTTGAGGTTACTAGGGGTTTAGAGGGGTTTTGGGAGTCTAGAGAGAAGTTAGAGAGAGAAAGAAAGGCTTATGGTGTGAAGAAAATATGAAGAGTTCATCTCTTATTTATAGGGGTTTTATCGTAGAGTAGGCCCTAAGTTTCGTCGGTATCTTCCGCGTACGAGCTCCACTTTCTACGTTCTTTATATCCACGCTTTGGTATTTATGATTACTACAACTTTCATTTAGACCTCGTCGGCTAATTCTCATTCTATTTCAGATTTACAAAACTGTATTCGAATTCGTCGCGCTTGAAGAGTAGAGACTACGTTTCGTCCATATCGTTAACATATGAGCTATATTCTCGGCGTTATTTATGTCCACACATTGGTGTTTACGAGTACTACAACTTTCATTTAGATCTCGTCGGCTAATTCTCATTCTATCTCTGATTTGCTTACTGTATCGAATTCGCCGCGCTTGAAGAGTATTGACCAAGTTTCGTCCATATCTTTCGCATACGAGCTCCGTTTTCGACTGTATTTTTATCGTTGATCTCCTATTAATGAGATCTTCAATCCTCGTTTAGACTGTTTTGGTTAAAAATCAACCGATCTAAAATTCGAATTTCGGGTTGTGCACTACTATGCTAAATCTTAGAAAAATCATAACTTCCTCGTACGAAGTCAAATTTGGACGTTCTTTTTATGCACACTCTCGGTTTAACATATAGTACGACTTTTGTTTAGATCGCTAAGGCTAGAAAGTATTTTATCGTAAATTCACTATTTACGATTCCCGGTGTCGTGTCGGTTTTGCCGTAAAACTTCGACGAGTCTTAACTTCTTCGTTATAACTTGGATTTCGGTGTTTTTTATATGTACGGAACCCTTGAGATATATTCTACAACTTGGTTAAGATTATTTATTATAAATAATGTTTTTTCAAAAAGTCGTTTTCGACACTTATTGCCTCTAAACTGACTAGCCCGGATCTGCGGGCGTTATAGTGTGGCTGGAGAGGGAGCGAAAGAAATTGAGACCAAAAAAGAAAGGATGAGGGTGAAGCTTTCATCGCTAGAGTTACTGTTTTGTCGATAGAGCTCGCTGGAAATCTCATCAGAGATGGCGAGGGTGGAAGAGAAGGTGGTTTGTTCTTGGAACATCATTTCTTGGTATAAATTCATTCTTTTTAGCTTATTCTTCTTTTCTATTCAAACACCACACACACAACCACCAACCACCACTATCGAATGTGGTGGTGGTAGTCATCGGAAAACATCCCACATCTACCTTATCTTCATATGGTGGTGGTGAGGTCGTTGATGTTTTAAGGTTCCATTGCTAGATATGCTCATTTCAAGCTTTTATCTTTTGTTTCTTCTTAAATTTAACATTGATGAATGTAAGCTTGGAGTAAGGGTTTCGTGTATCTAATGACCACCATAGCTCCACCATATAACCACCAATCCATAGGGGTTGATGTGAGCCTCTATTTCCAACCAAGTTTTGAGTCATTAAGTGTTTAATGGGTTTTGGTTGAAGAATAAACCCTTAAACCTCATCTTATGAGCTCAATGTGAGGAAGATTAATGTTTTTAGGATAATTAGTCAAAGCTGTTAATCCATCAAGTCATTTGTTACTTGGTATTTTAAATAGATGTTTAAGATCACATTTAACTGTATTAGTTGTTTTTAGACTTAATCGTTAAGGATTAACG